CTTATTATTGGATCTTCTGATTGCATCCAACACTTCTTCCTTTTAATTTCTGTTTCACAGAAATTTCTTCACAGTAACGTGTCGAACAACTATTCACAACAGCGCGGCTCTTCTTACAGCAAATTTTTGATGCTGTCTACAGTGTTTAAAACACTGTGCCGAAAGCCCTTGTCTACCGTAACCCAAAGAACCTCTTCCAGCAATGTACCGAATAAAGCTACAGTGAATGCAAGCACTGTGACGATTTCCTACAGCAATTGGCTTGCGGCTAAACAGAGAAAGAACTCTGTTGGCTTCTATGAATATCAAAACAAAGAAAAGAACTATTGGATTTCGGCTATTCAGTGACTTTTTGCTCTTCAGCTCTATACTATTTCTTCTCCAAAGCACTGTAACCGAATTCTTTTCTTTGCACTGTCCGAAACTTACTCCATTAACTGTGCGGTGGAATCTTATCTATTCAGTCAGTTTGTTTACAATAAATAATTGGAAGTGGGACCCAAGGCAACTGCCATCCCACTTCATTTTCCAATTAATGTGAAGAGCCAACCGATGCATTCTTTTGGTTGGTTGAGTGTAAACGGAATTTATATTTAATTCATTCATTAGGATTATTTTCTAATTAACATTAGTTTAAAATTTTAGACTATTGAATAATTAATAGAGATCAACTATTAATATTAATTTACATGAATATTTCTGGTTCTCACAAGTAATGCCTTGAAGTCAACATCAATAACTTGCATGCAATTTGCTATTGCCAACAAGACACAAATACCACCTGAGATTGGTGAAAGGTGGATATGATGCAGTAGCAATGGCTCTTCTATGAACACTTTCAAGAGATCGTAGTGAATACAATCGGTCCCTGTAAATAAATACGAGTCACTTGTGGATAACAACAGTGGATATATCGTAAGTACAATGAACCCTTGTGGACACAAGTAAATACAATACCTATAGCAGTGATGATTGAGATGTTGTAAATACAAAGAATCTCCTATGAACACCCACAACAACGGTGATTGAGATGTTGCGAGTACGTCGAGTATGAAGATAACTCGATGTACGGAAAAGGGCACCTTCTAGCATAATGGAATAGATGTTTGAGCAAATTCGAACTAAACTTCCTGGTGTTCTAAATTTTTTCTAGGATTAAATGGGGGCATTTAAAGAATATTAACAAAAATATTTTTGCAAAGAATCTCCTATGAACACCCACAACAACGGTGATTGAGATGTTGCGAGTACGTCGAGTATGAAGATAACTCGATGTACGGAAAAGGGCACCTTCTAGCATAATGGAATAGATGTTTGAGCAAATTCGAACTAAACTTCCTGGTGTTCTAAATTTTTTCTAGGATTAAATGGGGGCATTTAAAGAATATTAACAAAAATATTTTTGGAAATAAGATTTTAGATCTTAAGATTTTGTCTGTGCATGAGGATGCTAATATTATGTGGGAAAAAGTGGCTAGTGATATTAAGAATATTGCAAAAGATGTCCTTGGAGTATCAAAGGGAAAAGCTCCCAATAGTAAAAATAGTTGGTGGTGGAATCCTAATGTGCAAGAAAAAATTAAAAATAAGAAGCTTTGTTATAAAAACTGGTTTAATTTTAAAAATTCTGATAATTGGGAAATATATAAAGTGGCTCGTAAGGATGCTAAGAAAGCAATATGCGATGCAAAGGCATTAGCTTTTAGTGATTTATATAATAGATTAGATACTAAAGAGGGAGAAAGATATATGTATAAGTTAGCCAAACAAAGAGATAAGAGTAGTAAGGATTTAGTTCAAGTGAAGTGTATTAAAAATGAAGATCAAAAAATACTTTTCTTAGAAGATGATATTCAACAAAGATGGATGAGATATTTTGCTAAACTTTTTAATGAAGATTGTGAAAATAAGATTGACTATAGTGACCTTAGCACCCTAGATGAAAATAAAGATTTATGTTTTTATCGGCGTATTAGTAAAACTGAAGTTACAGAGGCTTTAAAGAAAATGAAGGGTGGAAAAACTGTTGGACCTGATGATATTCCAATAGAGGTGTGGAAATGCTTAGGAGATGAAGGAATTTCATGGCTTACTAAACTTTTTAATACTATTTTGAAGACTAAGAAGATGCCAGATGAGTGGAGAATGAGTGTGTTAATTCCTATTTTTAAGAATAAAGGTGATGTACAAGATTGTGCGAATTATAGAGGTATTAAGTTAATGTGTCATACTTTAAAACTATGGGAGCGAGTTATGGAGCATAGGTTGCGGCGTGATACTAATGTTTCTCAAAATCAATTTGGATTCATGCCGGGTAGGTCGACTATGGAAGCCATACATTTATTAAGAGGTTTGATGGAGAAATATAGAGAAAAAGGTCTGCAATGCTTTATGGTGCCGAATATTGGCCTTTAAAAGAAAAGCATAATACTAAGTTAAGTGTGACAGAGATGAGGATGCTCAGGTGGATGAGTGGCTTTACCCTTAGAGATAGGATACGAAATGAGCATATACGTGAAAAGGTTGTAGTAGCTCCAGTAGAAGATAAGATTAGAGAAAGTCGCCTTAGATGGTTTGGTCACATAAAACGGCGGCCTTGTGATGACCCGGTTAGGAGAGTAGAGGTATTAGATTTTACTTATGTTAAGAAAGGTAGGGGTAGACCTAAAAAGACTTGGTTAGAAAATATTAGGAATGACCTTTCTTTATTAGATTTAAACGAGAATTTGACTTTTAATATGACACAATGGAGAAAAAGGATTCATGTAGCCGACCCCACATAGTGGGATAAAGGCTTGATGTTGTTGTTGTTGTTCTATACTTGGGAAGAAAACAGTTATGACATCCACGAACACTAGAAATGACAAGTGCACCTAGATACCTCTATTCATTTTGAAAGCCAACTATGTGGTTACGAACGTTACATCTTGTAGAGGTCTACTATACTGTAGATCTTGAAAGGAATTCTTTTCAAGGCATCAATCACTGATTTCAAGAAATACCTCCCGGTGAACGAGAAAAGGGAGTCAACATCAGGATGATGAGGTGTCTCATGACATCTAGATAATAATGCCATCGGATCCCTAACATCCATGTAAGCAAACATAAGACATTTACAAATATTTCAACAATGCCCCTATACATGCACCGTGGTTTGTATACACATAGGTACACGAGGGGTAAATGCAATCACAAAACCCGCATGGGCCCTGACGAGCGTGTTATGGGTACACACGTGACGTCTAGGGATGCTGCGCGGGTCATTAAATTTGAACCCGATCCTCATAAGCAGATAAATAAAAGTTGTCAGGGTTCATCAAATAATTATAAAATGCCCCTAAACACCCGTATGGGCTTCGGAGAGCATGTTATTTGTACACACGTGACATCTAAGGATGCTGCGCGAGTCAATAAATGAACTCAACTTCTAGCATGATCCTCTTGTGTAGGTAGATAGGGGTTGACAAGGCTCAAACAATTAAATAGATATACGGTTGCAAGGTCGACCAGGATATTTATTTTAATACATTCATATTAGGCCTTCAAGGCCTCTAACAAAGAAAATTCATCAACAAAGGCATAAAGCTTACGAAATCCGATCCTCTATTTTTAGCTCGACAGAATTGACAAGGTTCATTTACAAAATACAAATATTTTCAAATGAAAATGGCCCCATACCCCGATGATGGTCGTGTTGAATACGGATCTCAACTGGATGGGTTAATTTCAAATGCCACCCAAAATCTAAAAAATCATCCAAATTCAAATATTTAAAATTGAAATAATCCATCTAAGCGCTTAAAACAAAAATCCATTCATCCTCCGCAATAGTTTGCCGAGTGACAAATTAAAATTTATTTTAGCTCACATAGAGCTAATGCCTAGTCGAAAATATCACTAGGATCCATTATCAAATAATCTCTTGCCAATAAGGACGTGGTATGTGTCCTCTGACTGGCGGTTTTGCCGCCAAATGGCACCGCATAATAAACGGTTATGACCCGGGCCCCTCTGAACCGAGTGTTTTTTACTCCAAATAGCACCACGAGATACCGGTTATGGCCAGACCAATACTTTCCTTAATGACATCAAATCCTTAAGATATGAATAATACGATATAATCGATAGGGTACAAAGCCCTCTATTAGCTAAGGTGGATTCAAATTTATCCCCTTAGACAAACATTCCCCCTAGGTCTACAAGGTCCCTTTGGACGAATCAACCCATGGTTGTCAACAAGGATCCTTTTATCAGTTGGGTCGACTACCTCCTCTGACTAAGCAGACCAGAGACCACAATGACGGAACCATGGGATCTTGATCGGGCTCATCATCCATTACCCCATCATCCGCTTTGAGCGCAAGATGGTGAAATTTTCGATTTTAAATATCAACCCACTCAAATACCCAAACCCATATTGCTACTATATGTCTGATACTACGCATCTATGGATACAATGAATCTGATTACCAACTAGCCTTAATCGAAAGTTCTCTCTCGTTATCGAGAGGGTTAATTAACTATAGGGGCTTGCACCTATAGGAAACCAGAACTCAGATCATATAGTCCTCACAAAATTAGGGCGAAATCTCTGGGCAGTGTCTTATCTACAAACCCATATGTCTTCCTAAAATTTACCCCATAACTTAAATCCATTAAAACTCCCCTGAAGAAAAGCAACGGGCGGAGGCCGGGGCCGAATTTTTGGAGCCCACAGTGGTAGTCACTGTGAATAGTATCATGTCATATGAGTAATAACCATATGCATAATTGTATATCTCATGAACAGTGTGATCAATAACGAAATAAAAATTTAATCGATTCTATCATTTCTATACCTTTCAGTTACTAGTTACAAAATAGTTTAGTTCATATAATTCGTATATCCACATAGGAAATCCATACTCATTATTATCATATTCATGTCGTACAGTGTATATGTTTTGTATGCATATCATGTATCATGCCCAATGCAGTCTACCCAATATCAATGAAATATATTGTGTATATCATATAATTCATAACAAGTGATTCATATATTTATATACAATATGCCCTTGTATTAGTCTTATTAGTTATGTCACATACCTATATCAGTCATATTCTATATTATGTATAGATTATAACATGTCATGTCATATATGCAATCTATCATATATGCTTCTACCATATGGATATTGCTAGAAATGTATCAATGTAAGTAACATAAGCAAGATAGGATACCTGGCTACCTTTAGTGTTTTTCTTGTATCCAGTCATGTAGGCCAACTCTACAAGAACCAATCTCAATCATATCAATCTTATTTATAGGAATGAGTCTTATATCACATATCATAACTCGGTCGAGTGAATTTCATGTAAGCAGTCATTACTTCCTGCCTGTTGGCATATCATATCATATTAATCAATCTCCTTGGGCCTTCTTTTTTATATCATGAGGATTTCATTGCAAACCTTTCATTTTAAGGAAAGCCCGTCGACCTACCCTCCTATATAGGATAATATGTTTCCATTCAACGTGAATCAATCAATTATTTTCAGACAGTCATTATTGTCCTTTCTCACACATCTCAAATCATATAGGACATAATAGCAAGCATCAAATAAATATCAATGCAATTATCAGTAAACTCATCAGTATGTCTGTGGTATGCAAAAAATGTTTGTTGACCTAACTGAACAGTAAATTACTGTATGTCACATATTACATGTCTAAATGTAGTACATTACTTCCTCATTATTTTATAAATTAATAATAAACCATCCATTTTAGTTAAATAGCATAGAATCAATGCCACTCGGTGAAATTTCAATATCAATCAGTTAAAATACTTAGGAGGACGGTATATATCACATATCAAAAGTTATGGGGTGAAAATTCATTAAAATGAGAGAATGCATTTTAATCACTTTTAGGATAGAGAAAATCTAATAAATTGAAATCATTGAGAACAGAAGCCGGATTTGGGTTACCTATGACGATCAGAAGACTTTTCCTAACCAGAGTGAAGTATAGAAACAACTCGAAGCATCTCTCTCTTCTCTCTATCTGATTCTCTCCTCCTCTTCCATCTCTTGCTCGACCACACACAAAATGAGGGGGAGGGGGTGGCTTAGTTGAGAAATTATATTAAAAAATATTTTTAGTGCCTAGCACCACCTCAATATCACTGCGTTGAATTATTTCCAAAAATTTCAGAGAGCTCAACGTCGCAGTGGCGCTTTTCCACACCTCCCAGCGCCGTTTTGCTCGCAAGCATATGCCGCAATGCTTCAGCTCTTTTTTTTTTTTTCAGATCTTTTAGGTTTTCATTTTAATATCATTTTCACAAATTTCAGATTATTACAAGTGAATACTATTTAATCCTTTCATCTCATGTTAAAGGCTTATGTTTCTTTGTAAGTTCCCTAAAACTTTCATGATTATGTCCGCTTTACCTTCCACTATTTTTACACACCTCAACACCAAATAACAACCTCATTCCCTCATTTCCAGCACCTTATCACAACTTAAACTTATCATATGAGAGATTTTACCCATTCCACTAGGCCAATTTGTCCCGGATTACAGTTCTATGATTTAAATTCTCTTCCCAACGTTTTGAAGGAAGAGTATGCTCTAAGTCGGGGTGGATTCATAACAGTCGGGTAAGTTCATCTCAATAGCTTTTCTTTATTCATAAATTTCATTTAAATATGAATGAAGCTTTAAAAAAAGAGAAATTATATTTTTTCATTTTATTATATACAATACCATTTTGAGTGTTGCTGTGAGTGTTTCATCTGACATTCATTCATGAACAATGTTGTTAGCTAAGTATATTTTTACTTAGGTTGTGATTCTAAAATTTTAGAAAACAAAGATTGACAAATAAAGGTTGTGGCCTATCTGATTGAAGACCGTGGCAATTTAACATATATTTTTGGCTTCTTTATCATGTTTCTGAAGTTGTTTGACCATCTTGGATGAAACGTGAATTACTTGAATGAATCATGAATAGCTATCTACACATTTTCTTAGTATTTGGTAAAATGTTGAGTGGGTTCTTTTTACATTGTTTTTCTCGTGTTTTAAGGCTGGCTTGAAGATGCGGCACTTTTCTCTGCAATTGATCATGTTATCAATACATTTTCATGGGATGAGTGGCCTGATCCTCTTAAAAATCGGCATCTTGGGGCCTTGGAGGATGTACAGCAAAGCAACAAGGAGTTTGTAAGAAGCATAAAAGCTAAGCACACTTCCAAATCTAACAGTTTCTTGTACTTTCTCCATTCATGTGAATTTACTTTTCATGCAGATCTATATATTTATAGCTCAACAGTTTTTATTTCAAAAGCAGTGGAAGAAAATACGCAGTCATGCTCATGAGTTGGGAATTACTATTATAGGTGACATGCCAATTTATGTTGGCCATCATAGTGCAGATGTATGGGCAAACAAAAGGTCATTTTTACTGGTAGGAAGCTTGGTGTGTACTTCACAAAAAAGGATGTTTTATTCCTCGATTAGATGAGAAAAGCATTTCTTGATAAAATTTATCACCTTGTGTTTGAATTATAGAACAGGGAAGGCTTCCCAATTCTGGTTAGTGGCGTTCCTCCTGATGCCTTCAGTGAAACTGGTCAACTATGGGGCAGGTATACACTTGTTAAACAAGTATTTTGAGCTGTTCTTTTAAATGCTGCCTTATCAGATGCCATTCAACAATTCTTAAACTGCTTTTCTGCACTCTTTTGTTATCACATTGTCTTGGTCTATTTATTGTGTCAACCATGACCAACATAATCAAATTTTCTTTTGATATAACATTGCCAAGACCATTATTGTTCCTTTCAGTTTTATCTCTTCTTGGATTCTCATGGTAGCGCCTTACTGACAAGCATGCCCAAGAATCTAACAATTACCTTGATAATTGGAGCCTCTCATTGCCCTAAGACAAAGTGCTAGAAACTGGATTATTTAGGTTGGTAATGTGATGTCAATACTCATTGAGGCTTTAAACATATAAGCATTAGAAATAATTTCGGATGAAGCGTTCGCAGGAAACTTAAGCACTTCAGCTGGTTTTATTTTTTATGAAATTTTGTATCAGAATCGTTTAAGACTGTCTGAATTGAAAGGAATTGAAAGAAAGGAAAAGGGAATATCAACCAGTTGTTAGTTTATTATGAATCAACTTCCATTGATTAGATTTTTTCAATCCTTTTTTTCCATTCAATGCACTCAAATTCCTAGCATCCTCACAATGCCTTCGGAAACTGTTTTGCCTTGTTATTGGAAGGATTTGGTTACTTGCTGCTTTGTATTCAAATGTGAAGTTTGCTTTCTCTAATATAGTTCTGCTATTGACAGTCCACTTTATGATTGGAGGTCAATGGAGGATAGTGGCTATACATGGTGGATACAGAGAATAAAGCGCGCACTTGATTTATATGATGAATTTAGAATAGATCACTTCCGAGGATTAGCTGGTTTTTGGGCTGTTCCTTCCGGTTAGTCAATTTATAGGCAGCACAATTGCATATTCTAGTGCCAGAGATATTGCCGAGTACTGCTTTTCTATGCTTAAAAACAAATTTCAAGGAAAAAAAAATTATATTAAAATCTATAATTTTCAGAGGCAAAAGTTGCAATGTTTGGACGATGGAAGGTACGGCTGGCATTAAATTCTTTCTATTTCTTTCTTAAGGAAATGTTTGCGGTTAATGCATAGCTTTATTGTTTAACTGACAGTAGGCTGGACCAGGTAAAGCTTTCTTTGATGCCATTTTCGGAGCTGTTGGAAAAATCAATGTAATTGCCGAGGATTTGGTATGCGTGAGAAAATTCCTATATTTAGATATCCAAAAGTATTTCATTTGTTAACTCTTGCTGCGTCTTATAGGGTGTAATAACAGAGGATGTGATTCAGTTGAGGAAATCAATTGGGGCTCCTGGAATGGCAGTTCTTCAGTTTGGTAATTTATCTCTAGCAATTAACATGATCTGTGCCGGGGATATTTATCATGCATTCTCTTTCATAGATATTACCCCAGTATGGCTTTAGTCTAAGGCTTTGTATGGGATGGCTTTCTTATTATTTTTTAAAGTAATTTTTTATTACAAAAGTTTTAATTTTTATACTAAAAAGTTACTTTAAGAAACAATAAGAAAGCCGTCCCAAACGAAGCCTAAGTTGAATTCCATTTCTAATACGTCATGTTCTCTAGCTTTCGGTGGTGGCACAGATAACCCTCACTTGCCTCATAATCATGAGCTAGATCAAGTTGTATACACTGGAACCCATGATAATGATACAGTAAGTGTCATCAAAAAATTCTGTCCGTACGCTATACTGAGGAATCTTAATGTTATCTTAGAAGTTTCATTGGCTGTTTTTTTTTTGAAGCACGCCCCTATTCATTTGAAATTTTATTGTGTTGAAATTATCTACGCTGAATAACTTCAGTGAAAATCATGTTTTCCTGCCCATTTATATTTCCATGAAGAATTTGTATTTTCCAGGCCTTGGGTTGGTGGGAAGGCTTGAAGGAAGAGGAGAAGTATCATGTTAGTGTATTTACTTTAGCTTTTTTTAAAACTAGACTTTTTGGCTATTTGTTCACATCAATCATGCATGTTTTTCTCTTCTGGTTCGAGTGATACAAATGAATTTTCCCGCAGGTGCATAAATACCTTCAGATGAGCGGAGATGCTAAGATTTCATGGGTCCTTATTCATGCAGCAGTTTCTTCAGTTGCTAGAACTGCTATAATGCCGATGCAAGACATCCTGGGTTTGGGATCCTCTGCTAGGATGAACACACCAGCAACTCAGGTGACCAATTTTCTTTGTTTATTTTTGGTGTTTAGGTGCTTACACTTGTTGCGTTAAATAGAGTTTATATCTTAGATTTTCGAGAAGATCTAACATATATACAAATAAAAGAGAAGGATGTAAAAGATGTCAGAATTTTTATGTGGAAAATCCGAAAAGTATAAAAAACATGGGACGACCTCATTCAAATAGTCAACTATATACTTGAAGTGTTATAAGTATGCTATTTTTCACAGTTAGAGAAATGAGATTACAAAGTTGAGAGCATTTGCTTAATTTCCTATGGTTGTTGTAGAGATTGTAAAAATAGTGTGAGGATGATGACGACTATCTAATGATGTTATTTGGGCAACAGTGGTTGGAGGATGACGATCGAGTGATGATGGCTATCTAACAATGTTAGTTGATCAACAGTGGCTGCAGTTACTTTATACTTTGTGTTAGAAAATTTGCATGGATAGAAAGAGAGCTTTATGTCCTAATTTTGTATGAAGATCTAGCACATACATAAATAAAAGAAAAATCATCAGAGTTTTAAAGTGGAACTCAAAAAGGGAAAATCATGAGGCAGAAATAATCCACTATATCTGTGAAAATCATAGAAGTTTTCTCTTCTCCACAACTGAAGAAGATGAGATCGCAAAGTTGGGGGCACTTGTTCCCATGATCACACGATCTTAAAATAACTGTCTCGTGTAATAGAGCAAAAGAAACGAAGAGGAGTTTTACACGAACTTACGCAAACTTTGCAATCGAATCCTTGGCTCTCTTGCTTGACCTCCTCTCGTCGCCTGCGAGTTCGGTGAACCCAGCCTCCGCTCGTAAGGCTTGCGTAAGGACGGGATCTCCCACAATTGACTCGGCACCGCCTACCTGCCTCTGATTTACGTGGACGGAGCCCAAGCCCCACCCCTCTATGCAAACAATGCCCGTCCTGCCCTAGTCTGCTATCTCGCAGACACGAATAGAGCCTGCTTGCTCGTCCGGTCTCCTCCCTTTGCGTGAATGAAGCCCAACGACCCAATCCCTCTCTCATTCCTGTACGTTCGAGCCGACCCTTGCACGTCTAACCGATCCTCCCACCGGCGTACGGGTCTCCTTCAGTAAACCAAGCAAACTAGGCTTTGTCCGTCTAGCACATACGGACTGCTCTTGTTCGTCTACGATCAAACTGCTTCCTCACACACGTCAAACTGCTTATGCGTATCCGAAGCCGAAGAACCGACCTCCCAAAACCTTTCTTGATTTGGAACAATAAGGGGAGGAAGAAGATTACGAGAAAATTATGTGTATTATTATAATAATAATATTATACTCTATATTATTATTAACCTCAATAATAAAAAAGTAAAAAATATGCTTGTAATCTTGGCAAAATCAGATGTTGCAATCAACAATTGTCAATCAGAGCTTTAGAACACAATTTTTGGTACCAAACAATATTTTGAAGCCCTCAATCATTATTAATATTTTCGGTTAGGCGGATTATAAGGGGACGCTTGGAGGTTGCCAAAATTTTCCCAAAAATACGGGACTTAGTAGATTTTTTTTGAAAATTTGGAGAAATATTTTTTGAGAGCTTTCAATGTATAATTCAATCATATTAACTTAAAGTCAAAAGTGATCTTTTAATTAACTGATTAAATCTTTTTAAACCTGAGAACTTAATTTAAGTTGATTAATTCAACTAAATTAATTTAAAATGGAACTAATGAAATAATTAATTAGTTAATAATGTTGACTGATTAGTTAATATAAAACTTTAATAAATTAAACTTTAATCAAACTTTAATAAATCAATACTTTAAATTAAAATTTATTTCAAACTAATCAAGCAAATGAAATGTATATTAATAATTAAATCAAAATTAATTAAACATTTTTTAAAATACATTTTTAATTAGAGAGCTGAGTAATTTAAAATTTAACTTTAATTAAAATTAAAATTTAATTAATTAACCTAATTAATTTTTGCAATTAAAACAAAATAAAAGAAAGTATGGGAATTAAATATTTTTCCACAAAGTGTCTATATAATTCACACTAAAAAACAAACTCCTAAGAAAGCTAACAAAAACATAAAACTGAAAGAAAAGCTCTAAAAATCCTAATATAAACCCAGCTCCTAGCAAGCTCCAAACCTCTAGTGAGCTCCAGCTCATGACAAAGACTACAACTACAAGCTCTAGCTCCTAGAATATATATATATATATATAAATAAATAAAATGTCGTCCGACAACTTTCAATGAAAGCCGTAAGCCTGACTTTAGGGGAAATTTTTAGGCAAAAATAACCTAACCCCTAATCCCTGATTAACACACCGGTTACTTCTAATAGAAGTCGTAAGTCCGACTTCTGAGAGAAATATCTAGGTAATAACATAGTCCTAGACCCCTCACATGAGCATCCTAGTCTATAGGGCTAGGTTGTAAGCCCCATTATATGGGCCACTTAACATATAGGGCTATGTCTTAAAACCTGTCATCAAACAACTTCTAAATTTAGAAGCCATAAGACTTATCAAAATATAAAAAAAATCATTGAGTATCTTAGTCTATAGGACTAAGTTGTAAGACCCGCTATTTTGGACCACCTCTAATAGAGGTTGTATGGCCTGCTATTAGGGCTATTTTCAAATGAAAATCGTAAGGCTCTATCCAAATCCAATTATTGGGGCTACTTTCAAATGAAAGTCGTTAGTCCCTATCCAAATCCAATCACACGAGCAACTCTTAAGCAGTGCCATAAGTCCCAACCCAAATCAAACCAAATTAAAATCCATATTTCTATACTTTAGTTTACTCAGGATCCCTAAAAGGAGACAATTCATGGTTGCTAATCAGATTCTCTGGACACTATAATTAATGATTGTTTGTGTTGGTAAATTGAAACTCACTATATACCCGGGATGACGGAACTATGAGATCTTGATCGAGTGTACCTTCATCTCCTATAATTAAGATTAAAACACTGTTGCATATTTCCACACTCCTTACACAAACTAAATATATTTCATCCTTAATTAAGAGTGCTCTTTTAATGCGTTAGGAGTGATAATTAACTATGAGGGTTTGCGCTCATAGGAAGTAGAACTCATATCTAAATAAATGTTAACACTACTCTCAGGATAAATCTGGTTAAATTTTAAATCCAATCTACCTCAAGAAAATAAGGACCATAAGCTTGTGAGAACGTGGTTCGCACGTATATCTTTCCTAAGCGAAGACCTGAAATTGTGAAAAAGATTATAGGAGAAGTGGCATGATGAATGCTGGTGGGCAATGTTAGTCGGGTAATGATGGTTAGATATCGATAGCCGGTAATGATCATTGAGCAATGGCTATCAGATGCCAATGGTCGGGCAATGACGGTCGGATGATGAGGAATGGATTATCACTGTACGACAATGATGGTGAAACAATGATGGTGATTCGATGCCGATAGTTGGACGATGTGGTGGCTGACGATGATTATCAGCTTCGAACATTGGGTGGAGCTATAGTGTTCATCAAATCTCCAATCTCAAATATAGATCCCTTTCATGTAGAGAATATTGGTCTATTTATTATATTTTGGGAGTTGCATTTTTGTAAAATTTGGACAACATTTCATAACACCCCATTAAATGCCCTATATTAAATCTTTTGATCATAAGTTTTTTTTTCTTGCATTTAAGCGTCTTACAATAAAAACAACAACATCAAGCCTTTGTCCCACTATGTGGGGTCGGCTACATGAATCCTTTTTTGCCATTGTGTACGGTTAAAATTTGAATTCTCATGTAAATTTAATAAAGAAAGATCATTTCTAATATTTTCTAACCAAGTCTTTTTAGGTCTACCTCTACCTTTCTTAACATAAGTCGAATCTAATACCTCAGCTTTCCTAATCGGGTCATCAGAAGGCCTCCGTTAAGTGTCTTAATAAGATAAAAATTAAATGACATTGGACTCATTGGATTCATCTTGTTGAGCTATTCAATTTGATTATAAGCATGCATGGTGAGCATTTGGCCCTTAAATTAATGTATCAAAGTTTTCAAATATACTTCGAGTGCTTGATATAGATTCACTTACTTTGTTCAAATCACTTAATATCATTGAGTTTTTTCTTATCTAGATGTTCAGGTCAACTATATGTTTGTTGAAATTTGATCTTGAATGGTCTTGAATTTATTTTCAAAAGTTTTCAATACACATAATGCATCAAGATTCATTTCAATCAAGTTAATTTTTTTGGAGATGTAGCATTTGCTCCCTAGTTTTTGAATGTCAAAGTCTTTGTAAGTTACGATGTAATACTAAGGTTTCTCAAAATCAATTTGGATTCATGCTGGGTAGATTTACTACGAAAGCTATACATTTATTTAGAGGTTTGATGGAGAACTAAAGAGAGAATAAAGAGGATCTGCATATAATATTTATTGATTTTGAGAAAGCATATGATTAAGTTCTAAGAGAAGTGCTTTGGAGAGTCCAAACAAAGAAAAGAGTTAATAATTTCAAGTCATTAAAGATATATATGTAGGAGTTGTTACTTGCGTTCAAATATAATATGGTTTGACCAAGTATTTTCTTATTTTAGTTAGATTACATCAAGGATCAGCTTTAAGGCCATATCTTTTTGCTTTAATCATGGATGTTCTTACTAAACATTTATAAGAGGATGCTCCATGGTGTATGTTTTTTGCTGATGATATTTTTCTTGTTGATATGACTAGAGAGAGAGTTGAAAGAAAACTTGAATTATGGAAGTCAACCTTAGAGTCTAAAGGTTTTTGTTTGAGTAGATTTAAAATCGAATACTTTGAGTGTAATTTTAGCAGTACTAGTTCTGGCAGGGGAATTGTTACTTTGGACGATCAAGTCATTAATAAGAGTACACATTTTAGATATATTGAATCTATTGTTCAAAGTTATGGTGGAATAGATGGTGATATTGTTAGTAGAGTTCAAGTTTGATGGTTGAAGTGGAGGAATGCATCGGCCTTATTGTGTGA